GCGGGGGTGCCCGCCCAGGCACGGAACCAGCCGAGCGGGAGCGGAAAAGGCCGAACCGCCGCGCGGGCGGTTCCAGCGGATGAGAGGCTGGAGATGAGTCAGTGCCCTGTAGCCAAGAGGGCGAATGGCAGATTCGGGTGTGTGATGGGTTTGCCGGTGCAAGCCCCCCTCTCGGAGGAGTGCCCTTGGCAGCTTCTCCTCGGACTGGTGATAAATGCCGGCAATGGAGATGGATGGAGCTGTAGCACTTAGAGTTGCTAACCCACACTCCTGAGCTATAGACGTGCGGACCATTGTCCCGATTTTTCCACGACAGTCCCAAATTTAAATGCTCTGCCCCGGCTCCCCATGAAGTAGTGAAATGCCCTGGAAAGCCCTGCCAGACATTTCACTGCTCGGTGGGACACCAGCGTGCGGGAAGAAGCTCTGCCCCCTCCCATTGCTCCTCACGTGCACCGCAGCCTCCTTCCCCTTCCCCCAACAGGGCCGTAGGGCAGCTGGGCCAGCTTCCAGGAATGGGAGGCCCCTCCCTCGCTGCCCTCCCTCCCCACGCAGAACCGCCTGGTGGCCCCACCGCCTTCTCTTCTGGACTGCCTTGGAGCCCTGGCCTGGTGGCCCCACCGCCTTCTCTTCTGGACTGCCTTGGAGCCCTGGTCTGGTGGCCCCACCGCCTTCTCTTCTGGACTGCCTTGGAGTCCTGGTCTGGTGGCCCCACCGCCTTCTCTTCTGGACTGCCTTGGAGCCCTGGTCTGGTGGCCCCACCGCCTTCTCTTCTGGACTGCCTTGGAGCCCTGGCCTGGTGGCCCCACCGCCTTCTCTTCTGGACTGCCTTGGAGCCCTGGCCTGGTGGCCCCACCGCCTTCTCTTCTGGACTGCCTTGGAGCCCTGGCCTGGTGGCCCCACCGCCTTCTCTTCTGGACTGCCTTGGAGCCCTGGCCTGGTGGCCCCACCGCCTTCTCTTCTGGACTGCCTTGGAGCCCTGGCCTGGTGGCCCCACCGCCTTCTCTTCTGGACTGCCTTGGAGCCCTGGCCTGGTGGCCCCACCGCCTTCTCTTCTGGACTGCCTTGGAGCCCTGGCCTGGTGGCCCCACCGCCTTCTCTTCTGGACTGCCTTGGAGCCCTGGCCTGGTGGCCCCACCGCCTTCTCTTCTGGACTGCCTTGGAGCCCTGGCCTGGTGGCCCCACCGCCTTCTCTTCTGGACTGCCTTGGAGCCCTGGCCTGGTGGCCCCACCGCCTTCTCTTCTGGACTGCCTTGGAGCCCTGGCCTGGTGGCCCCACCGCCTTCTCTTCTGGACTGCCTTGGAGCCCTGGCCTGGTGGCCCCACCGCCTTCTCTTCTGGACTGCCTTGGAGCCCTGGCCTGGTGGCCCCACCGCCTTCTCTTCTGGACTGCCTTGGAGCCCTGGCCTGGTGGCCCCACCGCCTTCTCTTCTGGACTGCCTTGGAGCCCTGGCCTGGTGGCCCCACCGCCTTCTCTTCTGGACTGCCTTGGAGCCCTGGCCTGGTGGCCCCACCGCCTTCTCTTCTGGACTGCCTTGGAGCCCTGGCCTGGTGGCCCCACCGCCTTCTCTTCTGGACTGCCTTGGAGCCCTGGCCTGGTGGCCCCACCGCCTTCTCTTCTGGACTGCCTTGGAGCCCTGGCCTGGTGGCCCCACCGCCTTCTCTTCTGGACTGCCTTGGAGCCCTGGCCTGGTGGCCCCACCGCCTTCTCTTCTGGACTGCCTTGGAGCCCTGGCCTGGTGGCCCCACCGCCTTCTCTTCTGGACTGCCTTGGAGCCCTGGCCTGGTGGCCCCACCGCCTTCTCTTCTGGACTGCCTTGGAGCCCTGGCCTGGTGGCCCCACCGCCTTCTCTTCTGGACTGCCTTGGAGCCCTGGCCTGGTGGCCCCACCGCCTTCTCTTCTGGACTGCCTTGGAGCCCTGGTCTGGTGGCCCCACCGCCTTCTCTTCTGGACTGCCTTGGAGCCCTGGCCTGGTGGCCCCACCGCCTTCTCTTCTGGACTGCCTTGGAGCCCTGTGCGGAGCCCTGCTGGGGCTCTTTGGGGCAGGGCGCACTCAGGCCCGGCAGGTTTCAGGACTGGAGCGGAGGCTGCCTACCATGCTATTTTTAGTACTGCGGTCTGGGTCCCTGCAGGCAGCCCGGGCTCCATCTGCAATCAAGTGGCAGCCGCATGAGGCATGTTCCAGCTGGGGCAGCCTCACCAGAATGGGCCTTATTCAGCTGTCGCTTGACTCCGGCTGGGGGAGGGCCCGCGGTAATAAAAATAGCACTCCAGCCCCGCAAACTGCTTTCCACATGGAAGGCAGGTGAGGAGAGGGGCTGGGGGAGACTAAGGGGAAGGTGGGAGTGAGGAGAGGAAGGGGTCAGGGACGGAGAAGAAAGGGGCAGGCACCAAGAGGCAGGGTGGAGGAGAGACAAATGCCAGGGGGCCAAGAGGAGACAATGAGGAAAAGGGTGGGAGGGAAGGTGTCAGTGAGGGTGGAAGAAGGGATGGGACAGAGTGATTCTGGGAGAGGGGTAGGACAATGGGGGCAAGAAGGAGTATGGAGAGGGCAGGAGTGGGTGCTAGGAGAAGGAGTTGAAAGGCGTGGGCATGAGGCAGTCGGGATGAAGCAAGTCGTGTGAGGGCACGGGGTGTGAGGAGAACTGGGGCAAAGGGTGGTGGGGGCATGGTCCCCAGGGAGAAAGAGGCCAAGGAGGGCAGGGTCAGTGAGGGAAGGTCACCCGGGAGGGTGCAGGGGTAAGGGAAGGTGCAGGTGCCAGGGGATTCTGGGGATGAAGCAGAAGGGCAGATACTGGAGGGGAGGGTCGGGCACCAGAGGAGAGAAGAGAGAGGCAGGGCAGGTGGGTAGAGGAAGTGTTAGGAGAGGGGATGAGGAGGGGTAGCTACAGATAATCAGAGTGGGGCTAGAGGAGGAGTGGGCACAAGGGGAAGAGAAGGGCTGGTGCAGGGGAGAGGGGCAGGTCGCAGGAAGGCTGAGGGGGGTGAGAAGGGCAGGAGCCAGGACAGCAGAGGAGAGTGAGGGGTGGGGGGCAGCAGCACCAGGGGAGCAGATGTGGGGGGAGGGTAGGAGGCATGGCAGCAGAGGGGTAGGAGGCATGGCAGCAGAGGGAAAAGGGAGAGGTTTATAAGATATTTATTAATAACTTGGGTGCCACCGTGGCACATCTGAACAAGCCACATGAACTCAGTGCTGGTGCACAAGACAAAATTCACTCTGCTCATGGGAGGAAACTCTTAGAGGGAACACTTCTCTTAGCTTCTCCCCCGAGTGAATCCAATGCAAACTGGGTTAGTGCCATTGCAGGATAGTTGCATGTGGGGGTCCTGTGGGGGCCGAACTTGTTCCTATTGGTACGAGGATGGTGGGAGGAGTTCTTAGAGGGGTCACACGGCACCCTTTACTTCTGGTCATGTGTCCATCTTGACCCCGAGTGTTACCTCCAGAGGCCTGGCTGATGGGGGTCAGAGGTGTGGTTAACAGGGGTCAGGGCGTTGGCTAATGGGGGTCAGAGGTGTGGTTAACAGGGGTCAGGGCGTGTGGCTAATGTGTCCCTAATTTTGGTTCAGAAAATATGGTCACCATACTTATTGTCCCATTCTCCTCAATAGGTCAGGCTTTCTGGTTGGGCTACATTTCCCATGTTGCACTGTAAAATGCCCATGTTAGTGAGAGGAAGCAGTACCTTATTGCCCCCGGGAAAACATTTTTGGGTTTTGATTTTTCATGAAAAGCTTGACATTTCCTGTGGAAAGCAGACACTTTTCCATGAGTGACAACTGAACTGCTGGCTACGGGAGGCTAGCCCCCAGCTCTAGCCCTTCCACATAAGACCCTGTCCCTTCTGTGACCTTGGAACTCAAGTCCTGCCCGCCCCACATTTTCCAGCTTCTGCTCCAGGCTGGGAGTATGCACAGTGCTGCTGCAGCCCCTGTCCCATGCAGCCCTAGGTGGGTGGGTAGCATGACACCAGACCTAGAGCCCAGAAGCTCAGCCAAAGTGGGAGCCTAAGGGTTCAGTGTGGACGGGCCTATGCCTGGCTGATTGGAGAGGCATAGCTTCCCCCAGCCTCCTCTACCCACTGCCCAAGCCTTTTTCATGAAAACAGCCATAGAATTGGAAACACAACTTTCCACCCCCCTTTAAAAGAGATTAAATGGAAAATGTTTGGCCAGCTGTCACAGTAATTCATTTTGCATTCAGGTTGGATTGCTATAATGTCTATGTAAAGTCTAGACTGCAACTCAGCTTACTTTCTTAGGCTTCTTGGTAAACTCCAGTTAAGAAAATCCTGCAAGAGAATGGAATCACATTCAACTAAAAATACACATCAGCACAATTTCTTCTGTGGATTAGGGTTGCCAGATGGTGTCAACAAAAGTACCGGACACGCTTGACATTACATCACAATCTACATTACATCTTATTTAGAAAATACTGGACATTTATATTTTCTCAATTTATTTCCCAAACAGAAAGCTCAAATACTGCACTGACCGGTTCAAAACTGGACACCTGGCAACCCTATTGTGAATACTTTGGAGGAACTGGAGGTGGTGGAAAGAGGACTTAACCCACAGTTAGGGTTGCCAGATGGTTGAAACAAAAATATCGAAACCCCCCTCCTCCCCCAAAAAAACCAAACACCTGGAAAAAATTCTGTTGAAGGAAAAAAAAAGGTGGGGGGAGACCAAAGTTGTTGAGCAACAAGAACAAGTTGGGAGCCAGGAGGGGCTCAGGGAGGGGGGGAGGCTGGGCCCTGAGTGTTTGTAGGTTGCCAGGTGCCCAGCATTTTCGCCTCCTGACTGGGGAAAAAATCAGAAAGTATTAGACATTTTAGGTGTCCGGTATTCTCTGCATTTTTTTACTAGACAGGAGGTGAAAATACTGGACTGTCCGGGTGAATACCAGACACTTGGCAACCCTATCCACAGTGGGGTCTCCAGGTGGTCCAGGCAGCCAGGAACTATTCTCCACTCCTGAGGTGCATAGCTAGTCTCAGAAGCTGCTCCCTTGGGAGCAGGAATCAGGAGATGAGATGCAGAATAAGTTGCTGTATCTTGTGAAGTGCAGAGGTAGGTGTAGGGCGTTGAAACTTGGAAAGCTGGTTGTGTTGCTGTAAGCTGGATATTGCTCTGAGTAGCTAATCAGTATGGCCAAATAGGGGGTGGATGGACACTAAGATCTCAGTGGAATCCTTCAGGGCATGTCCTAATCAGTATGGCCAAATAGGGGGTGGAATCCTTCAGGGCATGTTATAGCCACAGAGAGAGATTCTGGAAAGTTTCCTGCAGGTACTTGTTAATCCTCTGCTGCAGGTTCCCTGGCAGTGCAGCTGTGTTCCTTCCCCCACTGTAGCCCACCGTCCCACTCCATTCTGCAACCACTTTTGGCTATCACACCAAACGCTCTCCCACTTGGGCCATCATAGAGGTGTTGGATCTGATCAGTATATGGGGAGAGGAGCATGTTCAGTCCTAGCTGAGAGTGACCTGTAGGGCAAATTTATTGGATCTGATCAGTATATGGGGAGAGGAGCATGTTCAGTCCTAGCTGAGAGTGACCTATAGGGTCTAAGGACGCACATGGGCAAATTTCTTGAGGCTTGTGTGAAAAGTGCCAGGATCAGGACTCTGCAGTGCAGAGCAAAGATAAAGGAACTGGGGCAGGCATACCCTAGACTGCATTTTGCATAATCTGTGTGAATTCGAAGGTGAAATGTTTGCATAGGAGTGGAGCACTGAGGCAGAGCACTTGACTGCAGAGTTTAAACAGCCAGATAGTAGGGCTGTCAAAGGAGCCCAGAATGACGCTATTAACATCAGAGAAGATTTGAGGAAGCACTTTGAGAATGAGGGGCACTAACATATACCTGTTTTGGAGTTGCTTCCCTGGTGCAGGTGTAAAGCAGCACAGAGGTGAGCTGTATATGGAACAGGGCAAAAGCCACAAGCATGCAGTAGTTGTAAGTTGTACTTTAGTTTCCTTGCTTACCCTCAGTAGTGTGATGTCTGCTAGAATTATATTTGCCTATGGAGAAGTGTGGGATAATTTTAAAATGAGTTTGCTGCAAAGCTGCACTGCAAGTCCTGCAAATACTGTATTTTCTTTTGTCCATATGCACACTCTCAACCCCAACATGCATCATGCTTTGGATGCTTGCAGACATGGCAAGGGTCAGTGAGAAAGTGATTCTTATGTTGCAAAGGCTTGTAAGTGAAATGATTCAATGCTGAATTGAACTCTCTTTCTTCTCTGCATTGTCCACAGCAGCCAAGTCCTTGAGGTGCGCACTGCACATCCCTCCAGACCAGCTCTAGCAGCTAAGGAAGAGGCCAAGACACAGCAAAGAAGATACGTCACTGTGCCATGCGCATTTCCCAGAGTCATGGTCCGTTGTAGCGGGATACAATTAATTGCCCTGCACATTCACAGCAGTACAGGTAGACTTCCCCACTCCAAAGTGATTCACAACTTCTTGGTTGAGCAGGGTTGTGAGTTGTATCCCAGGGTCTTTGACTTTCCTACCCTACATATAGTGGCACAGGCCATCTCTGCACTGAAGCTCAGTGTGAAGTTGCCTCTGCAGGAAGAGGAATAGAGCTGTGTCAGAGTTGTGTACATGTGTTTGTGTAGTAGCCATGCCAGCTATTTTGCCATCTCACTTTGGGCCCTACCCACCCAGGCCTTCCACAGCACCCCCACCCACCCCAGTCAAATCTGAGTGAAGCATTGAAGTTAGGCAAAGCTGGGACAGTAGGGTGCAGTCACTCTTACCCAGAACCAAAGAGATGTTTCCCAAATGTCTACCTGGTCATTTTTACTGCACTCTCAGGGGTATGGAGCAGTGCCCCATGTAAAAATGTGTCATAATGAATATTCAGTGTCAAATATTGTGCAAGGCAGGGATGGTGCGGGAAATGGATTACAATGCTCATCAGTCATCTTCACCCTTACAGAGGGTTGCTTTACTTGGTGCTGAGTGAAACCCAGCAAGATTAATTAGTTTTCTTCCCAACCAAGCTTTAAAGGCAAATTAATTAGCTTGGTAGAATTCAAGTCAGTTTCCCCTGAGGAGCTGGCTCCTTGTGTATAGCACTAATTGTCTATCGTTTGCTGCCTAAGGTACCTCCAGGCTAGTGGCAGACAATTGATCAAGGCAAGATCATAGGTACTTGCAATATGTGGCAGATCCTCTGTTCATAAATTATATTCTGGATGGCTTGTTCTTTACTCACACCTAACACAGGTAGTGCACAACAACATAACATGGCTAAATTTAGCATATACACATGCAGGTATATACCTGAAATGAAATCAGGGCTCCTGAAAAAGAAAAATAAAGGTACTCTGTACAACTAAAATTCAGTCAGACACAGTCATATCAGGGGGTATGTCTACACTGCCACCCTCGTTCGAACTAGGGTGGCTAATGTAGGCAATCGAAGTTGCAAATGAAGCCTGGGATTTAAATATCCCAGGCTTCATTTGCATTGCTGGGCACCGCCATTTTTAAATCCCTGTTAGTGCAGACTCCATGCCCGTGGCTACATGCGGCACAGAGTAGGTAGTTCGAATTAGGCGCTCTAATTCGATCTACCGTTACTCCTGTGGATTTCCTGCTGCACTAATTATTCATTATTCTCCCAAGCAGAGAAAGAGTGCTGCAATTGTGTGGGCCATTCTTGGCACTGCCACTAGGGAACCTGGAAAGAAGGAAGGGTTCCTTCTGGTGCACAAGTAGGGTACTGGACCTTTCTCTCAGGTAGAGTCTGCATCTAAAACTGAATCTCTTACAATGACTCAACACCTGCAGGCCAAACCCCCAGAACCCCTGCGCCAGGCATAAGTAATGAACACATCTTGGCCCTTGGAACCCAGCTGTCAGGATCCCAGTAGATGCTGTGATTCTGTGGCTACAGAATTCAGTCTTTGCTGCACAAGTGTGCTCCAGAATCTAAACTCTCCTAGACCTTAAGATTTTATCTCCGATGGCTCCACATAAACTGTTCCAAAGATGAGCTGACTGTAAATCAGGGCAGAGCCTGTGGAAGATTTGTAGCAATAGCTCTGAACTCATCTTATTGGATTCTAATAACTCAGATTTCAACATTGTTAACTACATCACTGGTGATCATTTGAGCAGAAACATTCAACTTCTCTGTTTATCCCACATTGCCGAATTACCTTCTGCACTGTTCAGGTTACCAAAAAGCCTATACCAGGCCCTTACTGCCACCTTCTACAATACAGCCTATGTTATCAATACAAAAAAATGCAGCCTATTGAAAATTCAGAAGCAACATAAAATTGAACCTAGCATCAAAAGATATTACAAGAAAATCATGACTGCATGATTCATTTTCATACTGCATTCAGTTAACGTGACCAGATCCTTGGCTGATGTATGTCAGTGTAGCTCCATTGAACTCAAGCACAGAGTGCCTCCTGCCATAAGAATGTGATTACATTACAGAACCAGTGGGCATAAAATACAGCAGTCCCTGCCTTCCCGACAAGTTATAATTAGTGTGGACAGAGGCAATTAAGCTCAATTGCTGCTATGCCAAGGATAGGCACTTAGTAGAATGAAGGGTCTTGCCATAATGATCCTTCATTGTGGGTCTGCAGTAAGTGTTGGATTCAGGTGACCATGTCACACAAGTGGGACAACCGATGCTGATACCAATGAAGAAGAAGCAACGGGGCTGCTATGTCTGGGATCCCCATGATAAACATGGCAGTTTTGTAGTGCAGCTAATCCTAGATCATGACTTTCTGGGGAGAAAACAAACAAGTCAAAGGCGTATTTCCATAAGCCAATGTCCCCAAAGGGTTCATGCTCCATTTTGGTCTCTGATTCTGAGAAGGTGGAGAATTAACTTCAGTAGTCTCCAGAGAAGGGTATTCTGTAGCCACGTTTTCTTGATTCTCTGTCATCAAGATGAGAACAAAGCCCACAGAATTAGTGTCTCCCATTGAGAGTAAGAGTCACCAGATTTCCCCAGCACTTTATTACTTAAATAGCTCTAAATACATAGAAAACTTGAAATGAAGTAAAAAAGTAGAAATGGTTTTTCCAGTATCTTCCCACTGCAAGAAGAGGTGATGTTACCGGTTAACCAGTTACTTGGCTGGGTAAGTGGGCAGGGGTCTGTCATGATTATGAGGGTTAGCCAGCAGCCTGGGGATTAAGGGGTTAACTACACCTGGCCAGGTGGCGTGACCAGTAGGAATGTAGGTGGGACTTTCAACCTGGGACAAAGGAATTTGGGTTTTTTCCTTTCTCCCTTTTTGTCTCTCTGGGTGAGTTCTCTGCAGTTACAGCCCTGCTCGCCAGCCGTGCAGTTCTGCAAGCTGCACATGCACAGATCACATGGTGCCGGCTGTGCTGGCTTGAAATCTACTCACCACGGGCAAGTAGATTACATGATTTGTCAAGCCCTGTATATATGTATTAATTGATTATTTATGCAGATCTCATAACTATAATAAATAAACATTGTATTATTATTATTGTTGTTGTTGTTTATGTATTTTCCCTTTTTCTATGAAATAACTACTATGAATATATACACATGAGGGGGCACAATTTTATATTCTTGCCTCATGCGCAAAATTAGCTATTTACGGCACTGGATAGAAGGGAAGTATATCAGTCTTAGATTGAGTAAGTCGTTGTTCCCAGGGTAAACTAACAAGGTGTAGTCCAGAACCAACAGGAACTTGCCAAAATCAATCAGGGCAATTAAGCACCTGGAGTCAATTAAGTGAACTTCAAGAGTCAAATGAGCCAAGGCTAGTTGGAACTGCTGGGACCAATTAAGAACCAGTTGAGTTGGGTTAAAAAGAACCTCTCTATAGCTAGTTTAGCATGTGAGGAGTTGAGGAGACAGGAGGAGATATGGAGGCTCTAGGGGGAGCAAACACAGGTGGGTACCAAGAGGAAGAGCCTGTGATAGGGAAGGTGCTGAGGAAGGTGTGGGGAAATAGCCCAGGGGTTTGTAGGTGTCACGCACCAGGTGCTGGAGACATTTACAGACAGTTGCATTTACAGGAGCCTGGGCTGGAACCCAGAGTAGAGGTTGGGCCTGGGTTCCCACCACTCCCCATTTCCACTCAGGAAAAATCTGGCTGGGGAAAAGAAAGGGATTATCCAGCCCTAAAGCTTTCGGAGGGTTCACCGATACTGTGGGGGTTGCTTTCCCTCTGTTCCTCATGCTGGCCAATGATGAGAGTAGCTCAACAAACAGCAAGCTGATGCCTAGGAATGGTGGCTAGATTGAGGCAAGCAATCTGCCACAAAGCACAGGCCCACCAAGGTTGAGTAGGACCTTTGTCACACCCAGTATACTGTACATGGTGATGGGTGCTACCTAAACGAATAAGATAGCCCCAATGACACTAATCATCTAACTATGTCTACACTAGCGGGATAGTTAACTCTGCCACATCGAGGGAACGCATCTGATCTTTCGCTTCCTTTTACAGAATGTCTTCCATGAGGAAGAAGGGATCTTCCGAAAGAGGAGGTTTTTCCAAAATTTGGTCCAGTGTAGATGGCAAATTTCAGAAAAGCCTCTTCTGGAAAAAACTATTGGAAAAAGGTACGCAAATTGTGGCGCGCAATTTGCATACCTCCTTCCAATACATCATTGTAGTCTAGACATCTCCTGGAACTGTTATGTTCTTTTCATCCTTACTTCTGCACTAATTTTTTTTGCTGTTTTAAATTCAAAAACTTCATAAGTGCTAAGCAGAAGCTCCTAAGTCCTGATCTGAAACTCACCGAAGTCAATACAAGTTTTTCCATGGACTTCATTGCATTTTGGATCAGCCCTTTTCATCCTTTTGGTTGCAACTTTCCCACTGAAATGGAAACTCTCTAGTGCTGTTCTGCAACCCAGTAATTTTTTCAGTTTTTGCCATATGATGATGGCTGTTCTACATACAATGTGATGGCACTATCCGTTCAATGCATATTAGATAGCCATTCAATTCATAAAAGGGGCTAAGGCCTGAAGAGGCATGGAGAATGAGCTCCAGTCCCACTTCTACAAGTGGTCACGCAGGTCTAGTTAGAGGTACCGTCTGTTCTGCAACCCAGTAATTTTTTCAGTTTTTGCCATATGATGATGGCTGTTCTACATACAATGTGATGGCACTATCCGTTCAATGCATATTAGATAGCCATTCAATTCATAAAAGGGGCTAAGGCCTGAAGAGGCATGGAGAATGAGCTCCAGTCCCACTTCTACAAGTGGTCACGCAGGTCTAGTTAGAGGTACCGTGACTAGCACTGATGCTGCATGTTATATAGCAGGTATCTAGGGTTCATCGCTGTCAGCCAGACGTTTTCATAATCACAAATAATTTACAGGAACTGTCACTTTCTTGGTTCCCAAGGCAGGTTCCTCTAACTTTATTTCCTGCACACCAAACCAAAAAACTTCTGTGTAACCTAAGCAAAAAAACTCAGGCTGAAACAAATAGAGAAGAGAGATATTGTTGGTACATTTGTTTAATGGCAGATAAATGACTGTAATGTTTCAAAAGGGTTTCATCCGCGCAGGAAGATTGCACTTAAAAGTAGCAGCTGCCTGTTTTCTGCAATGGAATAAACATAAATATTTTAAGCATCTTCACTTGTTGTTTTTCCATATCAGCCTTAGAGGTTTGCCTTGAAAGGGTGCAGAAGTTCTACATTTATCCCACTCTTCCACACAAAAAGCCTCCTTTCCCAATCAAGTCATTGGCCATTCTTCTCACGATGTAAGCCACATGCCCAGAAGTATATTTTCCGTTTTCTGTCCAATTTGACATTTGGTGAGAAACAATACAAAAGGTAACCCAAAGGGATAAACTCCTGGAATTCTTACTCCAATCATATTGGTTGGTTTTAACTAGACAGATGGATCCAGTGGCCAGAGCACTGGTCCGGAATTTGGGGGCTCTTTCATTGCCTCATGTCACTCTGTTTCTACTCCCACCCTTTGTCAGTCATGTCTATTTAGTTTTTAAGTTCTTTGGAGCAGGGATTGTGTCTAACTATGTGACTGTACAACACCTAGGACAATGGGGCCTCTCAATTGGGACCTCTTGTTGTCCCAGTGATAAAAATAATTATAGTACAATGTAATTAAAAAGAAGACGTAAGGACTGCAGAACTTGGCCCAATTTATATTGCCACTGTGAATGTTTATGCTTGCCAATTTCATGTTGGGATTCTAGGAACAAACTGGGGATTTTGATACATATTTCACATAGATTTAATTGATTGGCGTATTATCTGCTCCTTATCTTTATCAGTAGCTAGAATCTGCACATGCCAGACTATGGACTCAGTATCACAGGGCTGGGTTGTTTCCATTTCTAACTGCTGTGATTTTGGTAAGCGGAGG